GTCCCGGTGAGTGTCCCGGTGAGCTGCTGTCCCTTCGGGGTGCCGTGTCCCGCGGGAGGGATGCAGAGGGAGCCTGGGCTGGGATAACGCGAGTGCTGAGCTCTGGAWGCAGGAGCGGCACACGGGCTGGCAGCAGCGCTCCCAACGCGATCGCACAGTCCCCTCTAGTGGATATTCCGCTTCCATCCTCATGCATGTCCTGCCCGCACCGCGCTGCCATCGCCGGGCTSCAAACCCTGGATCCGGGGCACGATCCTGCTCCTCTCCTGAATCCGGGCACGGCGAAGCCCCTCCAGCTGCCTCCAGCTGTCCATCGCTGCCTCCGCTCCTTCCCCTCCTGCGTATTTGGGTGATTCATCCTCCCCCCAGCCCGTCCCCTGGCCTGGCTCTGTCCCACACCTCCCGCTGCCCTTGCGTCAGGGCTGGCCCTGCTTGGCCCCTGCATTCCTGGCTCTCCCGCTCCGCTGGGATTTCACACCGCTCGGGGTGATTTGGGCAGCGGCCAACACGAGAACGAGCTAATGAGCACCCGAGCTGCGGCTGCTTCCAAGGGATCGCTGCGAGCATCACTTGCTCCTGCCCTGCCAGGAGMTGCAGCTTGGCCCAGCTTGGACTGGGGTGAAATGGGATGCTCTCAGGTGGCAAAACCCTCAGTGGGGTGGATGTTTGCACTTTTGTCCAGGGAAGGGTACAAAGGCTCCCGCTTGCACTAGCCTGGAGCACTGCCCTGAGCTCAGGGCCACAGCCAGAGCACTACGACTTTCTTACCCCTCCTCTGCCTCTCCCTGCTTTGGAAACTGCTTGTCACCTGGAATATGTGGTATCTACAGCCTGAAGCTGTTCAAAGGAAAAAAGCCACGTAGGAGAGCGTGGAAGAATGGACTCAGCTACAGACCAGGAGCTCATCATGCTCCATCATGATACAGTCCCTCCAACTTGCTCCATCTGTTACTGGAGATTTGTGGATTTTTTGGTCCCAGTGCCACCATCCAGAAGCCCCAGCTCTGAGCAGAGCTAAYATCAAACCCTCTGCCTCCATCCCTGTGCCAGGGAAGGACAGGGTCTCCTCTGGGGAGCTGGGACCTCCAGCGCAGGGTAAGGGTAGTGGGGATAGAGGAGTTGTGGCCCAACACTTGCTGCCAGGGAGCCCCAAAAACCAGCTGGAAGGGCAGAGAGGTGCTTGTTGCTCAAASCAGCCCTGGGACAGCTTTATGGGCCCCACAGCAGCASCTTGRAGAGATGCACACCCAGTTCAGGCCRTGCTGTTTGAGCTGGCAGCCAAATCCCCTTGTCCCCATGCAGGCCAGGAGACCCTTGGCTCACCGCATGCAAGTGCTGGTCACGCACAGGGATCCTCATGGCACGGCCCCATGGTGGGCAGGGGGAGTCTGGGGACATCTCCCAGCCTGGTGTGTGGATGTGGAGCAGCCAGCAGTGGTGGATGAGGCATAAAATCCCAGAGAGAGACAGCCCATGAYATTCCCAGCCCCTTTCACAGCTTCGGCTGTGGCCCAACAGGACACACACTTCACAGCTTTATTTATTATAAAAGATCTTTAGGGAGATGAACTCTACCAAAACCACCCCTTGGCTTTGTTTCTGCCCACAGGGACTGTGTCTAACAGTGATGGCACTGCCAGGGCACTGGGACTGGCTCTAGGTTTTCTAGACAAAGGGACATTCCCAAGTCTGGAGCTGAACCCCTATCTCCACACAGAGCAACGGCAGGGAAACTGCAAACCCCAAACTCCATTTCCAGGCAGCTGGATGCCAAACAACTCAGTGTTTATTGCAGTGCTCCTCATTTGCCTCATGTTTATAGGTGTACATTCAAAAATAAAAGCTCTGTGTATCTCAGCTGGGCACAGAGGGGCTTGAGTGATGAACAGGCAGCTCCATCGGTGGTGGAGTCATCTCCCAGCCCCGAATGTGGGGAGCAAACAGTCCAGCTACCAGCTCAGAGTCTCTGTGCTTCGAGCTGGAGCCTCGTGCATGAGAAACTCCAGCTCTGCTTTCAAGTATATTTGGTGTGAACACACACAGTCTCTCTGGCATCACATCTCACCATAGGGAAAAGACCTGCTGGCCCCAGAGAGYCCATCCCTCGGATCCAGCCTCGGGGGGAGATGGCAGGTTTGGGCAGCTGCTGGAGCCATGTGCCAGCTTGTTTTGGCTCGATGGGCAGGGAGAATGCTCTGGGGAGCTCAGGCAGCTCATATTTACATGGTACCCTTGGGAAAAAAAGCAGCTTGGACCCCATGAAGTCACCTCAGTTGCAGAGAGGGGTCAACAACTGGTGGAGGTCTGGTGGAGCCAAGGGGTTCCTGGTGCTCAGCAGCTGCAGCAGCTGCCCACGGTGCTCCCACACTGTCCCAGTTCCCAGCCTCAAAACCCTCCAGCCAAGGTGGTTCTTGGCCAGGAGGCTGCACGTCCCAAATTCACCCCCCAAAACTGAACCCACCACCCAGAGAAGCACACAACAGTGGTTTAAACAGGAAAAAAAAATGAAAAAAAAAAAAAGAAAGAAAAGATGCTTGTGGTATGTGAGTGCCACTGTCCTGGGCCAACCATGCTGACTTTGTACACTCRCCCTGTCCCAAGAAACAGGGCAAGCCCTAAGTCCCTGGCCCTGCAGCACCCAGGGAAGGCACAGGTTCCAAAGCACCAACCCCAGAACCCCTCCAGTCCTGGATACCAAGGGGTTCTGGCTGCCACTGCTGAACTGAATTAGGTTATTTCTTGGTTATGTAGCTTTAAGTCCATGTACTTTTGCTGATGGGAGCCCACAGGAGAGGGACAGACAAACCAAAGGTGTGAGCAAGGAGTGCAGGGTGGCAAACCCCACGCAAGCCCTGGCTACCAGCCCTGCCTGTGGGGTTACRTGTCCAAGTGGGGAATTTTACTGCTGCAGCCAGCAAGTCCTCGGGCCAGGAGGGCAGTGGGATCCTGGACAGTGTGGGGACACAGCAGCGGGGCTGATGGCCTCTGTGGGGTCAGCAGTGACGCACCCAGCACATCCCTGGGGCTTTGCCTGGGGTGGTCCAGCAGCAGCTCCCACTGGGGACAGCTGGGCCAGGCTGCCCTGTGGCGGTGCTGCAGGCAGGGAGGGGATGCCAGGCTCCCCCAGCAGCTGGGGTGTCTCTCTGAGGCCACGAGAAGCAGCAGCAGCAGATGCTTTCTGGTGCCAGACAGGTCAGGTAGTTCAAGGCCAGACTGCTGTGGGCTCAGCAAAGCAGGAATGAGACAAACAAGGGAGGAAGAGGCTGAGGGCACAGCTATGCCCAAAGCATTTCTTGGAGCTGCCCCTTGGTCCAAACACTCCCTTTTTGGTSGCCAACTGCAACTTCCCAGAGCTCAGCAGCCCCAGCACAGCCTGGCTGGTGCAGCTGCGTGTGCTGTGACCCCTTTGCACCAGCCAGGCACTGAACACCTCTCTGCAGGGGCCCAGAGCCAGGGAAGAGGACCTGGCAGAATGTTCTGTCCCCAGACACCCAGAGCTGGGGCCGGGTGGAGCTGCTGAATAAAACCGACCCTGTGATCCAGCTCATGGGCAGCTCTCATGGGTTCTGTGCTGCTTTCAGCTGGRGTAGAGTTAATTTTGTTCACAGTGCCTTGTATGGGGMTACATTTTCTGTGAAAAGAATTAACTCTACCCTGGCCAAAACCAGCACARCTCCCCAGCCTTTAACAGCAACATCTTCCCAACATCTTCCCCTCTCTCAGTGTGTGAGAACTGCAAGCAGCATCCACGGATGTGCTGGTGACAATCCTCCCCCAACATAGCCCCAGTGCAGGGAGCCTGGACAGCACCCACCTGCTCTCCCTGCCCTTCCAGCCACCCCCTCCCCAGATACAGGCACTGCCAGGGGGATGAAAACCTGTAAGGACTAAACAAACCATCTGCAGGATCCCTGACCATAAAGCAGAGGGGGAGTTGGAGGGCTTGTCTGTGCCACACAGTGCACCAGGCAAGGGCAGTGACAGGCCGAGGGTGACGTTGTCCATCAGAAACTTCAGGATGGCCTCGTGGAGGGTACAGAGGCAGCACAGAGACCCCAGGAGCCAGCAGGAAATGTTCCCCAGGCAGGCTGTCAGGTCCACAGGCACAATCCTGCTGTTGGTCCCTTGTGGCAGGACTGGGCTGGGGTCTKTTTTCTAAGTCCAGGTGACTGTGGCCCTCCTTCAGCTGACCCTCCTCTTCCTCTCTGCAGCAGGGACAGCGTCTGTCTATCTGTCCATCCATGGTTCTGGCCTTCAGCAGGGCTCCACAGAGACACAGACAGGTGGCTGCAGCCCCAGGTGGCTGTGGGGGCCAGTGTTTAGGTGGTCTGGCCGGGTGGGAGGCGTTTGCTGTCCAGAATGGCCTTCCAATCATCGGCCCAGGAGTGCAGCCGGCGGCTGGGGGGCTTCAGCTGCAGGTGCTTGTTGTGGCAGGCAGTGAAGAGCACATGCTCCCACGTGGGGTTCTGCTCGGCCCCTGCAAAGGAAAGACAGAGGTCAGCAGTCTGGGCAACTCCTCTACGAGGCACCGGAGCTGATTTTACTCCAACATGAAGAGCCTGAAGTCACAAAACCCTAAAAGCATGGAAGGACCAACGTGCATCCCTCCAGTCATTCCTTCACCCCTCACCTCTCACCTGTTATATCAGGTCTGTCRTCTATAAGCAGGTCAGCAGAAACCACCGTCTTATCTCGTGTCAAAACAATCTGCTCGAGAAACTCGGGGCCAAAGTGCTTCTCCACCCAGGCATACTGGAAGGCAAGAGATGGCTGGTGAGCTCAGGGAAGGCTGATGGATGGGGTAGGAGGGGTTTGGTGGAGTGGAAGCAGCCCTGGCCCCCACCCAGGGAAGATATCTCTCGTAATAAGTTTATTAGTGGGATTTGGATGCTGCTGGAGCAAAAATAGTTTTAAAGCCAAGCAGCTTTTGATGTCGTGATGGAAAATAAGACCRAGAGCCTCAGTGTGTTCAAATGGATGGAACAGGGAAATATTGCTGCTGTTTTACATGGCTCAGACACCTTTCACTGGGCAGTGTGGATGGGAGGGGCAGCTGAGATTTGGGCCTGCTCACCTTCTCGTAGGGGCAGTACCGGTACTTCTTGATCGGGCTCGTGCAGATGAACACGTCAGTGCTGCCACAGGGAGAAAAACAGGGGCAGAGTGTCATTCTGTGCAGAGCCCAAAGCCAACCCCCCACCACACACAGATCAAACAGATTAAAGACATTAATCCCCCATCTCACAGAATCCCACAGCACAATCATGTTCCCCTTTTCACAACTTTTGCTGGAAGCAGAGAGCTGAAGGGAAGGGGCTGCACATGGCTGATGTTCTTGGTGACTGCTCCAGGAGTCAAACCCCTCTCTCTCCTCCCTTGCCTGATGGCCAGGAGATATTTATTTTTAATGCTGTTGCTGTATCAGCACTTCTGCCAAGAGGTGCATGTGAAGCCACGGCTGCTCCCCCATCCCTCCCCACATGGCATGGGCAAGCTCCTACTCACTCTGCCAAATTTGCCATTTGCTTCACAGCTTCCACAGCACCAGGGAGCGGSTCCAGCTCAATGAAGAAGTTTTTGGATTCCCAGATGCTGATGGCTTTCTCCTGTGAGAGGAAAGAGAGCAGTTACTGCATTCCTTGCTACTCGTCTTGCACATGCGTCTTCACTCTTTGCTAGGACAGGGGACGGTGACAGTGGGAACAGTGGGAGCACAAGCTCCAGTCCCCTCCTGCTCACCTCCTTTGCTTCTGTGGGTACCTGTGCTTCCCATCTGCCAACCTGCACCCACCCCATGCAATTCAGACTGGAAATGCTCTGCAGCAGGCTTGGTTTTGCCTCTGCAGCCCCAGACATGGAGAGAGCAGCACAATCTCCCAAGGCCAAACACCAGAGATTATCCAGATCCAAACCAAACCCTGGATCTGCATCCAGAGGGATGGATCTGTGTGGATGCAGCTGACGTGGCCTGGTAGCCCTGCTGTACCAYGATGCTGTTCAGGCACAGATGCTGTCTGGCCTATTTGTCTCCATGAGATCACTTAAAATAGCAGCCAGGCTGCTCTCCCAGGAGGAAGTACATTACAGGGAGAACCACATGTCAGGATGAATGCAGATGCTCTTCCTCAGGGAAGCCTGGACAAGGTCTAGCAGGCAAATAGAGCMTCTCCAGGGAAGGATTTGAAACACAACATCCAGGACAGGAGCCTGGGTGCAGTGGTATGGCACAGGGAGAACAGAGAGGAGACCAAAAGGGAACAAAACCGGAGCAGAACAGAAATGCTTCCAGGCTCCATGGCAAGAACAACCAGCCTGAAAGTCTGCCATGGGGCCATGAAAGCATTCAAACTCCAGTTGCTCTGCTTCAGACTGGGGAGCAGTGATGTTTTATTYTTAAGATATTGCCTGTAGTTGCACAAGAGACACCTTAGAAACGCAGCCTGATGCAGCAGAGCACTTCAAACTGCACTGAAGTGTTTYCTTACAGCAGCACTTCCGCAGCTATCCCGCTTCCAATTATGTCAAAAAGCATTTTGCAATCAAGCTTGAGGAGAGAAGAACTAAGCTCACCTTGAGGAAAAGGCCCACTCAGCTCYCAGAGGCAGAATAATTCCCTGTGGCACCAGGACCAGCATGCTGCCCAGCAGGTGAAAAACCCCCTGGACTAGGAATCCCACCRGTGCCAGGACAGACCCTCAATGCCCATAAGGAATTTCCCTGCCTGTCCAGGGCTCCCCATCCTTCCAGGTCTGTGTGCTCAGTGCATTCCTGAGCTCTCCCCTCTCGGAGCTGGGACCTGCAGCTTGTTGGACTCTYTGGATCCTATTTTCTGGTCCCTGCAGGATGTCAGTGGTGCTCTCTGGTCAGACACTGGGATGGTCCATGTGTCTGGAGCCACAGAGCAGCTCCTACTCACTTTAGCCCTGCTCTGAAACCACAGGGAAAAACTGCCCTGAGGTCGGTCTGTGCAAATTTTGCTTCTTGTTCCGCCCAAGGTTTTGTTGGTTTTACATGATCACAGCAGACACAAGATGAGCTCACTTCATTTAACACATCCAAAGTAGTTAAGATCAAGAAAGAAAAAAATGTTATCAYGCATTACCCCTGCCAAACTTTGAACAGCTGCTTTACTGCACAAATTACGTCCTGCACTTCCCTTTCACCATTCCCAGCCAGAAAGAACACTTTATTCCTTCAGCTCATCAAGCTGTTTAGGACTTTGCCCATGGGAGAGCCCTGGACCTTATTCCCACTCCTTCTCCTGCAACCATCATGCCCCTAACAACAAGAACACTTTTATTTACCATAACACATTTCAACTAGTGCAACTGCAATCCACGGATGAGACCACACACATCCACTGGGATGGGAAACTTGTAGAGGCAGAAACCAACYCTCTGCAGCAGTCAGCCTGTCGCTGAATGATAAATTACAACACAGAGAGAGAGCTTTTTTTTCTGCTTTTAAGCTTTAATTATTAAATTGAATGTAATAATTTTTGGCACGGGAGGGCTTGGGTTGTTTTAATTTTAAGGAAGCCCTCAAATGAAGCATCAATTGCAACATTTGTTCTGAACTTCTTTGCTGCATCCCACCCCTCACACTGCTGTTGAGGAGCTAAAGAATCCATCTAGGAATGGTACTAATGCATGTGGCCAAATCAGAGCTAGAAAAACCCACCCATTTAATCTGGGGTATTTTAAGACAGATGTTCTGAAATATCCTCTTTCCTTACATCTGTCTCCACCCAGGCATGCAGGGAAAAAGCCCCCATAACCATCTGATCAGCCTGGTCTAGTGGAAGATGTCCTTCCCTATGGCAGGGGGTTGGAACCAGATGATCTTTAAGGTCCCTTCCAACCCAAACCATTCTGGGATTCTRCGAAAGACACAGATATGCACAAAAAACGCTGGATTTCTGGGAAAAAAAAAAGGCACTGCTGGAAGCCCTCCTACACTTCTGCGTTTTGGTTGGAGCTCTGTGGTGACGTCCCCAGCCCTCCCCAGCGCTGCACCCACAACCTGGGGGTCAGAGGGTCCCTCGGGGCCAACTTCTGGCCACAAGAAGCCCACGCGCGGAGCCGGGGGAAGCACAACTCACACTCAGCTCGGGTCCCAGGCGCCCGTATTGCTCCGACACCCAGAAGCCCCTCCGGTCCTCCAGTGCAATGTAGGGCTTGTCAGGGTACCTGGCCCTGAATTTCTTGAGGAAGCCTCCCTCGAAGTCGGCCAGCACCCCGTCCATGTCCACCAGCACCCGCAGAGCCCTGCGGGACCCCGCTGCCGGACCGAGCCCCCTGCCCAGCCCGGCCAAGGGACCGCAGCGCCGGGGCCGCAGGTGAAGGAAGCAGCTCAGCAAAATCATGGTGGAGGGGGCTCGGGGCACGGGATGGGGGATTCGGGGCAGGGAACTCAGGGAAGGGAATGGGAGGCTCAGGGAAACAGGCTCAGGGCAGGGGATGGCAGCTTGGGGTTCGAGGAATTGGAAAAGGGGATGGGGAGCTCAGAGAAGGGGGCTCAGGGAAGGGGATGGAGGGCTTGGGACAGGGGATAAGGCGGTGGAACAGGGGAAGGGGGCCCGAGGAAGCAGATGGGGGGCTTGGGGCAGGGGATAGGGGGCTCGGGGCAGGGAACGGGGGGCTCTCCAAGTCAAGGGGGGGGCCTCTATTTCAAACACGCACCAAGGCAGCGGGCAGCCCTGTCAAGCGCATCCCTTTGCAGCAGGAGGAAGGAGCGGCGGGGGGGTGCAAAGGGGAGCAGAGGGGCTGCCGGGGGGCGCGGGGTGGATGCAAAGGCCCGTGCTGGCCCCCAGCTCGTCCTCCCGCTCCCCGCCCCATCCCTCCCCGGCGGCGAGCGCGGAGCGGCGGCGGCGGCGGCGGCCGGAGGGGAGCGGGGACAGCGGGGCCGGTGCCGGGCGCGGAGCTCGCCCCGACCCGGCAGTGCAAAGCCCAGTTCCTCTTCCCGGTGCCTGCCGAGTCCGGAGCGCCGGCACCGCCTTAAAGCGGCACAAGCGCCCTGCGACAGCGCGGCGGATCCGCGCCKCCCGCCCGCCTTACGGCTGCCACAGCCCCGCTGCCCTTCCCCTCCCTCCCTGCCTCAGTTTCCCTCGCTCTCAAAGGGATACCCAGTCCCCCCGCACCCCCCAGTCCCGTCCCTGCCCGCAGAGGTGGTGGGTACATTTGGGGGCATACGTAATGTGGTGGTTTTTTTGCATAAAAATGCACCCGTTTCTGCCAGCTCTTGCTCTGTGTGACAGTTCTGTCCCCACGTGCGACAGGGACCTTTAAAAACCAATCCCGGAGCCCAAAGAAGGTTCACGAAGGGCTCGATGTTCTGACCACAGAGAGCAAACATCTGTTCAAAAATCACTTTGGATATTAAAACTGATGAAGAAGGGGAAGTTCTCCAAATGGTGTTGACAGGATTAGGCAACCACTGAGCTGGGGAATAGAAGATTTTGCTCGACATCAACAATAAGGTTCCAAAATATTTAATTKTTCAAGTCCAGAATGTTTCCCGGTGGTGTGTATTGTCCTTGTTTCATAGAAAGGGCAAAACCGCTGTTGGGCTTAGGTGACCTGGGGAAGGTCACAGAGAGAGGGAGGGAGGGCAGGAAGAACTGGCCGGACACGATAGTGATCTCAGCTGAGGCTGGGAGGGAATGTGTGAAGTTCAGGTCTGTGTTGTGCTTTCACTTGCACCGCAGGCATTTTGCTTCCTGCAAGGAACGGGATTTCAACACAGCTGGATGTTCCTGACTAAGCAGGGAGGGAATACATGCAAATTTATGGCTCCCCAGGGCAATGGTCAGGACACCGAGCCTGACAAGAGCTCRAGGAGCATTTGGATAATGCTCTCAGGCACAGGGTGGGATTTTGGAGTTGTCCTGTGCAGGGCCAGGTGTTGGACTGGATGATCCCTGTGGGCCCCATACAGCTCTGGATATTTTACGATTCTGTGATCTCCAACACAGGCTTCCATCATCTTCACGGATACTGAACGACCGACACATTCTCTGCCTGCAGCAGCTCGGGACACATTGCTTCAKCTCCCGAGGGACGGAAAATACACATCCATGTATTAACCTGAGGGATTCAAACCGAGGGATTCGCCAGTACCACGAAGAACATTGTAAGAAATCAAACAACAGCCACCACATTCAGTCCCCGTCAGAGACGACAAAAGGGATTAAACCTGCTGGTGCCATGCAGCCATTCGGGTGGGCTTCACCCCTSGCCCCGCGGGCAGCGGCACGGACGGCGCTCCCGTGTCGGGGAGGGCCCGGTGTTGCGGGGGTCCCCATGTCGCAGGGGTCCCTCATTACACGGGTTCTCGTGTCGCGGGGGTCTCCGGTGAAAGGAGTGCCCCATGTCGCGGGAGCCCCGTGTGGCGGGAGCCCCGTGTCGCGAACAGCCCCGTGTGGCGGAGTGTCCCATGTCACGGACAGCCCCATGTCGCGGAGAGCCCCGTGTGGCGGAGTGCCCCGTGTGGCGGAGTGTCCCTTGTCACGGATAGCCCCGTGTGGCGGGAGCCCCCCGCTGTGGCGGAGTGGCCCATGTCACGGACAGCCCCGTGTCGCGGGAGCCCCGTGTGGCGGAGTGTCCCATGTCACGGAGTGCCCCGTGTGGCGGAGTGTCCCTTGTCACGGACAGCCCCGTGTGGCGGGAGCCCCCCGCTGTCGCGAACACCCCGTGTCGCGGAATGGTGACGTCCATGACGTCACCACCGCCCCCCCCCCCCCCAGCGCTGCTGAGTCACTGCCCCTCCCTCGCGCCTGACGCGGGGCCGGCGGTTGCCATAGCGACCGCGCTTCTCGCGAGAGGCGGCGGGAGCGGCGCGCGGCGGCGGGCGTCGCGCGTTCCCCGCGGCGGACCCTCATTGGCGGGCGGAGGGCGGCGGCTCCCGGCGCGCGCCGCTCCCCCCGCCCCGCCCCTCGGCGCGCGCGGCCGCGGCGCGAGCCGCCAAGATGGCGTCGGCCCTGGAGCAGTTCGTCAACAGCGTCCGGCAGCTCTCGGCCCAGGGTGAGGGGGACGGGGCCCACCGGGGGGACCGGGAGGACGGGGCGAGCCCGCGGGGCCGGGGGWGGACGGCGAAGACCGAAGGAGCTCGTCAAACCGCGCGGATGACAGAGGGGGCGGGCCGGGGCCTGCCCGCTCGCATGGCGCTCCCTCAGGCGCGAATCCGGGGTGCTGCACCCCCGGAGCTGCGGGGCCCGGCCCGGGTTAATTCGGGGGCTGCATCCCCAGGGGCTGCGAGGCTCGTGCTGGCGTTCATTCAGGCTGGTCCCGGAGGGATCTCGGCGGTGTGACAGGGCTCGAAGGGCCGGGTTCTACCACAGGGTGGTTTCGGTAGCGGAGCCGGCACCGGCGGTCGTGCCAAAATCTGAGCCTTTAAAATAGTGGGAGGAGCGGACATCGCGAGGGCTTTAACTGGGATTGTGTGTCCCAGCTGGTCACCTCCCTAATAAATGTTGTGATAAATGCGGTTTAAAATACATTCCTGAATTGTCCAAGTGTCCGTGCTGTACGTTTCTAAGCAGACCATGGACAGAGAGTCCCGCCMCACCACGGAACTGTGTGACAGATCTGAGACTGTAACCACGTGTTCACAAAGGTTTTTAATAATCACAGTTAGAATTCCTTCGTTTCACTGCCAAACTCCTAATTTTACTGTGTGTGGGCGCAGCATTTCCTGGTTCTTGAACTTTCCGTCTATGTTGATGCTCTGTGAAATGTGTGGTGACTGTTCTGTGCCTGGTATGTTTCCTCTTAGAAACTGATCAAAAATTGATGTTTCCCTCTATGGCCCCAGGCTTTTATCTCTGGCAGTTCTCGGGTTGAGCTCCAGYTTTCTCTTACTCTGGTTTCACTTATTAACTATAGACTGTTTTTACTGGGGGTRTCATATCCAAGAGACAATTTATGCCTGCAAGATGTGGGTACAAACCAGATGGAAGATGGATCCTTGTACTCCTGTAGTTGAGTTGGAGAACTTTCTATCACAAGGTTCTGGGGATGCAAAAAGCTCGAGGGTAGATTGGTTGGATTTATGGAAGTTCCCCATTAGGGATGAGCCCCTCTCTCTGTGAGAAAGTTCCCAGCACAGTAAAGACATGGACCTGTTGGAGGAAGTCCAGATTAGGTCACCAGGATCCTTGGAAAGATGGAGCTATGAGGAAAGGCTCAGAAAATTTGGATTGTTCTGCCTGGAAAAGAGAAGGTTCTGGGCTGGCCTAATTGTGGTTTTCCAGGACCTGAAGGGAGCTATGAAAAAGGTGAGGAGGGTTCATAAGGGCCTGGAATGACAAGACAAGGGGTAATGGTTTCATAGTAACAAGAAATTAGATTGAATATAAGGAAAAAATTCTTYCTGTGAGGATGGTGAGGCACTGGSTCAAATTGCCTGGAKAATCTGTGGTTGCTCCATCCCTGGAAGTGTCCAAGGTCAAAYTGGATGGGSCTTAGAGCACTCTGGGATAGTGTAAGGTGTCCCTGCACATGRCASAGATTTGGAACTGGATGGTCTTYTAAGGTTCCTTGCAGTCCAAACTATTCTGTGGTTCTGTGAAAATAAATCCAGAGCCAGGCAGCTGGAAGACATGAGAGCACTCAGGAGAGATGTGTGCACTTGTAGTGGTTTGACTGTCAGTGTTTGGCTGCCTGGGTGGTGACATAAAGGGACATTCAGTTGGGCCTGATACTGGAATTTATATTTAGACTGTAAGTTGTTCAGTGTATGTTTGTGGATAGTGGGATAGATCACGGAATCCCAGAATGGTTTGGGTTGGAAGGAACCTTAAAGGTCATCTCTTTCCAACACATACCATGGGCAGGGGCACCTTCCACTAGACCTGTTTGCTCAGAGTCAGTTTTGGGGTGGTTTATTTTGCTTTGTATTTTAAGGGAATGCTAAATGATGGAAGTGTAGAAGTGGTGGATTTCTGGAGTAGGGAGGACACCAGAGCTGGGTTTTTACAGTGYCTGAACACCATTATCAAAGCACAGAGAGTTTTACAAGGCCCGTTCCTTCCCATGCTTATGCCTTTTTTTAATTCCATATGAAGAAGAGAGATTTTGGAGGCAAGTTTCTGGGCTCTAGTCCCCCATTTGGAACTTTTGATCCCTCTGTCACTTCAAAACTAACATTTCATTGCTAGAATGTCCAGGTTTTCCTTTCTCAAAAGAAAAGGCCAGAGAACTGAGGGTAGTATAAATCTCTCTGAATAGAGGCACTATTCCTCATTTTATGGAGACTTTTGTTAAGAGTGAGAGAACCTCTGKTTTTTCTCTCTAATCTGAAAGGATTGGACATTGAAACAATGCTCTGCTTCAGAAGGACATTGTTTTAATTCATTCAGTTAGTCGGGGGGGGAAGAGCTTGAAAGCAGTTCATGGGAATGGATCTGCTTTCTTTATAAGGATTTTTGGGCTTACCACACCTTCCTAATTTGAAGTAGWTGCTTTTCATAATGTGTTCATAGCTCACAGCATATAAAATAACATTGTAGTTTTAATTCTACAAAATAAATTTAAGGACAGGTTTCTTAATCCTTTTGTTGTTGGTACTTAGTTGTAACTTYAATGTCTACTTCAAAAAAATGCTTATGAGCAGACATGAAAGGTGGGTAGGGCTTGAGGACCAGCAAGGAACAAGGTCTGGTATTTGTTCTATAAAAAAACCCATGTGGTGGGTGGGAAATTTATGCCTTTTGCATTAAAGAAAATTAAAACTTGGGGAGATACTACTATTTCCTGAAGTTGCATAGGGAAGCCGGTTAAAATGAGGTATGAGAATGGGTAAATGTTCTCTAATTAGACTTTGACAACAATGCTTTTTGTTTTTCAGGGCAAATGACCCAGCTTTGTGAACTGATCAATAAGAGTGGAGAGCTGCTAGCAAAAAATCTTTCCCATCTGGATACAGTGCTCGGTGCCCTGGATGTACAGGAACACTCYCTAGGTGTTCTTGCTGTCTTGTAAGTGTTGCTTGCTTGTAATTAAATATTAAAACTTCAAGCAATGTGCTGAACTGTCAGCCAGGCAAAGTGTTTTGTTCKGGCACAAGYTGYCTGGAGAATCCATGGSTGCCCCATCCCTGGAARTATCCAAGCTCCAAGGGCTTGGAGCAACCTGRGATAGTRGAGGGTGTCCCTTCCTATGGCAGGGATTGGAACTGGGGAGTCYTTAAGGTCCMTTCCAACTCAAACCAGTCTGGGTTTCATGATAAGCGTTTTTCCATATGTGTTCAGCAAAAAAAAAAAGTAACATTAGCTTTTAAAACTTTATTTCCAGGGCTTTAATGCATGGGACTGTAAACATGGAGCAAGACGTTTTATTCCAGTATAAAATGGGCTTTTATCATAGGTCTTGGATCTTTGTCTTTGGGCAGCACGGTTCTTGCTGCTGTCTGGAGTTTAAGATAAAACTTGAATTGCCTTGGGGGTGCTTGAACTTGACATTCAAACTGGCTGTATCTGACTTCAAGTGAACTGTCTGCTGGTTCCACTGCTATTTTAAAATTCTCTTTTAAGGGAAAGATCAGAATTCTAGTACTTGCTTTGCTACCYTTTTGAAACAAAATACTGATAATACTGAAAATTATCTTTGCCATTGTCGTTTGCACTAAATTGAGAATTACATTGTGCATAGAAAGGTATTTTCAAATATTGTTGAGCAGAGCTACTGGAGAAAGCCTATGCCATGTCTCACAAACACTTTGGATTTGTTTGCAAGCACCTACTTGTAAAGACTTAGCAATGAAAATGAGGCTTTTATGAATCTCCAAGCATTAAGTGCTAAACCTTTTGTTTCTTTGTTTCAGGTTTGTGAAGTTTTCTATGCCCAGCATCCCTGACTTCGAAACGTTATTCTCACAGGTGCAGCTTTTTATCAGCACTTGTAACGGAGAACACATTAGATATGCAACAGACACTTGTAAGTTAAGATTCATTTCATATTGMTATATATTTTGGATAGTTTGGTAATACTAATTTTTCACTGGGGTGTCTTTTTGTTTTTTTTACTGTGTTTAGTTGCTGGCCTGTGCCACCAGTTAACAAATGCCCTTGTGGAGAGAAAACAGGTGAGCAAGTATCATTTAGTACAAATAAGCTACTACATACCCAAGGCTTAAAGGGGTTACCAGCCTCTTACTCCATAAAGATTTGCCACTAACTTCACATCAGGTATTTCTGTGCAGCTCCTTAGTTGTTAAGTTTAGTGAAAGGTAATGAACCAAATCCAAAATTCTAAGATTTCTTTAAGGAAAACCTAAGGAAGATAATTTTCTTTGGGAGAAGGGTCACCTAAAAACATGTTCTCCCACACAAAGTAGGAAATCTATAGTACCAAGAATGTTCTTCAATGTGTGCATGAGTAGAGGAGASAGCTGAAAAGGTTGTTAGCACTGGTGAGTCAGTGATTTTAGTTTTAGTGTCTCACTGGTGTTATATAATGATCTTAATAAAATGACTCAAGATGTGTGGGAAACTTGACTAAGAAATATTTGACCAGTGGTTTGGTTGYTRAAATCCTGACTTCTTCAGACCACTTTGATGAAGTCTAGRTAGACTAGATAGATTTGATCTCAGCTTCTAAGTGGAGTGAAGTGAGAGCCTTGTCTTTAGTTTTTGGTGGGAGTTTAGATGTAGCCATGGAATCAAGGAAGGTTTTCTTATTGATACAGATTACTCCTTGATGAGCTTKGCTTTGTGGAGCAGAATTGATGAGTTTACCAGGAGAATTTGTATAGCCAAGGTTAATTTTATTTTCCAAGAGACTGCAGTATCCTACAACAAGGGAACCTCAAGTTAACCATTACTTAATGGAACCTGTCAATTAGTGTTATTTTTCATTTGTAAGTGTCAACATAAGATCCAATGTGCTGCCATCTATGAGAAATTATCTGAAAGAGATGTAATTTCTGACAGCCCCTGCGAGGAATTAGCATTCTCAGACAAGCCATAGACAAGATGCAGATGAACACAAACCAGCTGACCTCAATACATGCAGATCTCTGCCAGGTAAGGGCATCAGAAGGGCTTTTTATGAGAATAAAAGCTTGCAAAATAGCTATAATCTTTCAAGGAAATGCATGTTCAGATATTGCAGTGTAAGAATGGATTTTCAGTTGGTTTTTTTTTTTGGTTTTAGTTTTTTCCAGTAGTAAATAATRTGATATACTAAAATAAAATCCAAATCTTAGATCCAAATACAGAGATTAATTACTAATTTTAAATATTCAGTGCATGTCCTCAGATCTTTTGATTTTGTTGATGACTTCAGAAARTCCTTTGACATCCTTTCTCTGGGGGCTGAAAGTCACACAGAGATTATCTTGGGTGATACCAGTGTAATATCCAGCTGCTGTCTGCTCAAGTCTGACAAAAGACATGTTTGTCTTGATGTCTTTGGCCTGGATTTGCACTTCAGTCTCATTCTTGGCTCCTGGGATTTAGGGTTGGACAGGAATGTTCAGAGCAATATTTAGTGCTGCCAGCACAGTAGTCTGTCAGGCCTGGAGTTTTGAGCAGCTTTGTCAGAGTTTAATTTCTAAGAGTCAGGTAATTTTATAACAGTTCATAATCTGTGTTAAGGGTTTTCAGCCTGTGTTATGCCACTATTGAYATGCCCTGTTTTTTTAATCGTGGGAGAGTTATACTTGTGCAGTAGTATGAATTAATTTAGTTTCAATTCCTTCTCATGGAAATTCTAATGAAAATGGCTAATTTATGAAAACTTGATTTATTTTCTTGTAGCTCTGTTTGTTAGCAAAATGCTTTAAACCTGCCCTCCCGTATCTAGATGTGGACATGATGGATATTTGTAAAGAGAATGGGGCATACGATGCGAAGCACTTTTTATGTTACTACTACTATGGTGGGATGATATACACTGGGCTAAAGAACTTTGAAAGAGCACTCTACTTTTATGAACAGGTAACTTGAAATGAAACAGTAAGTCTGAAGTGTGATCTCTGGAAAGGCAAGATGTGTAACAGTGCTGAGAAAACACAGCACCTTTGAACTGTCACAAGCAAACTGTCTTTAGTGGTGTTTTCCTTTAAGAAAGTCTCTATCAGCCTCATTGCACTTTAAAGCTGTGCAGCTCAAAGGGTGATGTTAAATTTATCTCACTATAAATATTTTTCAGCTGCCTGCTTAAAACTCCAGCTCAGAAGCAGGTCACAGGCTGACACACAGTTGTGTGTCCTAAAAAATAGTCCCGTAGCTTTGCTAAGGCCTTTGCTACTTTTATGAGAGGAGTTATGCTTCTTCAAGACTCTTGTAGTATTTTGCTTTATCTGGGAAAGAAAATAGCAAAATTGTGAAGACTTGGTGTATGAGAGAAATGCTGTGAAATGTGCAAAATAAATTGGTGCAGCATTTTTCATTTTTGTAAATGAGCGTCATCTCTTGAGTAGTAAACTAAATTCTCTTTTCCCTATTCTGCAGACCTCTGATAAAGTAATAGCTTCATAAAACCTCTTTGAGGGTCTATGTAAATCCAGGTTCACAAGCAGCTACGGGTGATTTTTGGTACTTTAGATATATGCCAAGGAAAGAAGTTTTGATTCTATCAGCAGGGCTATTTTAAGACAGGCACCACTGTAATGTGATATGTTTTGAGTAGCTTTATAAAATTTCCTTTTTTTGCRTATTTCTGGATAATTAATTTTGACAGAAGTTAGTTAAGCTTCAATGCTCAAAGGAGAATTTCATATGTCACTCTATCATCTTTGCATGCAGCTTGAAAATGAATTTCTTGCTCAGCAGTAGCTACCAGGATCTACCAGTAAGTAGACTAAATTTCTGTTCCATTTCTTTCTCTCTTGCTTAGGCAATAACTACTCCAGCCATGGCAGTCAGTCATATTATGTTGGAATCATATAAAAAGTATATCCTAGTTTCTTTGATACTACTTGGCAAACTTCAGCAGCTACCAAAATACACTTCCCAGATAGTTGGTAGATTCATTAAGGTAAGTTTTGCGAATACATCTAAATAATAGATTAAAAAATCTGTATTTGTAAATGTGTAAAAGTGGAAGGTGTCCCTGCCTATGGCAAGGGGTTGGAATGAGATGAACTTTAAGGTCCCTTCCAACCCAAACYATTCTATGATTGTATGATATTGGTGATACAGGTTTTTAAATTTAAATTTGGGAAAACTTCAGAATTGAGTAGTATTAATCAATATTCCTTTCACTGATACTGCACATTGCTTTATAGTTTTTTATGTTAGAATTTAAAAAATACTCCCATTTCATTTGGCTTTCAAGCTGCAGTGTCCTTGTGAAAAGATTYGACCTGTGACTTCATCTGATTGAAGTACAAAATCTACATTGTTTATTCCCAAACCCCAGCTTTTTAAAGAATAAAAGCTTCTTTAAAAAATGCAAGTTTGGGGTCTGTGAGCATTCAAATTAGGAAGTGTAGGGTGAGAGAYAAAACTGCTACTGGGAGAGTTCTGATCCTAAGTAACACACTTTTAAAAGTTGTTATTTAACACCAAATCTGTTGATTTGTGACCAAAATTCTAGAGAGTTCTAAACACCTTCCAACTTCAGAGACTAATAAGCAAGCTCAAAACATTTTAAGAGATGTTTTCACCCTCTGACTCTGTGTTCATGCTGTGACCTTTTGTGGTCAAGGATGGGTGTCTTACAGGGCAGAACAAATATAATGGACCTCAAACTCAGCTGGTCAGCTGAGAGTCTTTTTTCACACTGCTGTAAGTAAAACTGTCAGACAGAGGTCCTGGAATGGTGTTTACTAAAYGTTCCACTGCAGTAATAGAGATTTAGTGTATGAGAGTCTGTCATTGCCATAAAGCCATGTATGGGCATCCTGTCTTTTTAATGAGAAATGCCCGAGCTACTTAAGTTTACTTCAATGCCTGCACAGCTTCTAATGTTGGAGCACTGAATAGATTTTGTGAGGCTGGTTGAACACTGTGTTCTTTAAGAAGGGTTCTCATTTTTCTAATTGCAGCCTCTTAGCAATGCTTACCATGAATTAGCACAAGTTTATTCAACCAATAAACCGTCAGAGCTTCGAAATCTGGTGAACAAACACAGTGAAACATTCACAAGGGATAACAATATGGGGCTGGTTAAGCAATGCTTGTCATCTCTCTACAAAAAGAATATTCAGAGGCTAACCAAGGTAAGAGAAACTGTGAGTAGTTTTCCTCTAAGAGTGTATTTCTGAAATATATTCCATTCAGAGCAAAATGATAATGTTGTAATGTGGCAGAGAAATTACTAAAAATGAGATTTGTGTCTGAAACAGACTGAAATGTCCTGTATAGGAAAACAATTCCATTGGCTGCTTATGCATTATTTAAAAGGTGATTCAGTCTGTCAGGGGGGTTTGCCCATGAGGTTTTCGTAGATAATCAAAAAAGTGCATGCTGCAACCCAGTGACCTTCATCCCTATTCAAAAAAATGGGAAAACTGAACTTTACAGCCACTTCATTAGAAAAGAGCATGAGTGAATGTGACAGATTTTGGAAGTGTCTGAAATAAAAGGAAAACCAGAAGCAGTGAAGTGATTTGCWCCTTCAGCTGAGAGGTTGGATTAATTCTGAAAGGTTATTGGGGAAAGCTTTTTTTTTTGGCAAGCTCAAATGACATTTGTTGCAGTACAAAAAAACCTCAGAAGGAGGTTTATATATGCATCTGTTGAAGGAAATTCAAAGGATGGAGAGTCACCCTTTTTGTGTAAAAAGGTGAGAGAAGAAGTTGGACATGGTCAGGATGTCTGGTGTAAAATGAAATTGCAGGAATGAGTAATGACTCCATTCGTGCTCAATGTAACAAATTAATGTCTGGAGGAAGAACTGACTCACTCTCATGATCCCTTTAATAACTGTGTTCTACTTGTTCCTTCCCATCAGACTTCCACAATCARGTTATATAGGCCATGAAGCATCAACAGGGAAAATCTTTAACATCCAGTTTTAATATTTTGATACTTTCTAAATTTCAGACGTTTTTAACATTGTCATTACAAGACATGGCAAGTCGAGTGCAGCTGTCAGGGCCCCAAGAAGCAGAAAAATACGTCCTCCACATGGTAAGACCTCTAACTTGGTTAAACTTTCTTAAAATAAGTACTTGGGCTGGCAGTGCATATCCTGAACAGTTCTTTTTCAGGGTGAAGGAAGTGCTGTCAGTCTGCTGTGGAGTTTAGACTGTTCTCAAAAAATCTAAAAAGCTGTTTTCCACCTAAGATAAAGCATGAATCATGGGGTTTTGGAAATATGTGGGAAATAAAAGCAACCAAGTTAAGGAAAATTCCACGAAGAGTGTCTGCATTGTAGTTACCTGAAGTTCTGTTCTTGGTGGTAACTTACATTAAACCTTCTGTCATTTCAGATAGAAGATGGGGAAATCTTTGCAAGTATTAATCAGAAAGATGGTATGGTCTGTTTCCATGATAATCCTGAAAAATATAACAATCCAGCTATGCTTCATAACATTGATCAGGAGGTAAATCTTTAACTGCTTTTGAAATTCTTACCAAAGAACCTTAATCTGTAATCAGAGGGCTGCTGGCAGAAGCCAGTGTAATAACKTAGAGAGTGAGGACTGTGAATCATTATTTGACTATTTCACAGTATTTTCACAGGTTTTAGATTAATACTCTCTGTCGATGTGTTCYCTTTTGTGTCCTGCACAGCTTGAGCTGTTTCAGGAGACTGACTACTTGCTGTTGGTGATGGGAAGGTCCTTGAATGGATTAGAAAGATTGKTTTCAGAGTTTTAGACTTCAAGGATCACTTCCATTGGCTGTCAGTAACCTGCCTGTAGGTTAAGGGGGTTATCCTTCATGAGACTGTCTATCAATGGCCTTAAAAAGGGCTATTAGGAAGACATGGTTCAAATAAAGGGAATAAAAGATGGTCTGACACTTTTGTTTGGGAGGTGAGGGATGAGAACATTTTGACATGGAATTTTCGTGATGGCAGAGGTTACTGATTCCATGGCACAGCCATGAAATACCTTGAATATCATGTACAAGCTGACCATAGTAATCAATTTCATACATATTTTTAAGATGCTGAAATGTATAGAGCTTGATGAACGACTGAAAGCCATGGATCAAGAGATCACTGTGAACCCTCAGTTTGTGCAGAAGGTAATTGATTTAATGTCTTGTAAAAGTGTGTAAGAGATTCATTCAGTGCACCAAGTATGTTGTACTGAATGTCAGTATTTACAGTGTTATTGCACATTATTAATAATAGGTGCATAAACATCATGACACATCATAATTTATTATTTTTGGAGGTGTTTTTTTCCTAATTAATCCTGCAGTGATTTCAACCAGAAAATGAAGTGCATGTTACTTCACAGGCACTTTATTTTCCTGCCTGTTCACTTCAAAGAACTGCCTTTCTCAAGCCTGCAAACCTGTTTCTGAACAAAACTAACTCTCTCCCTTTCAGAGTATGGGCTCTCAAGAAGATGACTCAGGGACCAAACCATCCAGTTATTCTTGAAATTAATGTTGCTCACCACTCCGCTTTCAAGTAAAAGCTTATGAAAGAATCACGCCTGGAATAGGGCATTGAGGAGTTCCACGAAGAGAGCAGAGAGAACTGAGCTTTGCTTTTCACCTGGACATTAAGAAAATAAAAGAACACCCTCTCAGTACTGTAAAATATCAGAAATATTCTCTGCAAAGAAAAAGGAAATCTCAAAAGAAACTTAAAAGTCTGTTGTGGATTTATTTATCTTCAGATTAACATCGTTAATGCATTAAATAATCTACCTTTTGTTTTAAAGGATTTGAATGTTGCTGTGTTTCTGTAGCAGTCCTCTTCTGCAAAAAAAAAGTTTTATTTCAGGGAGAATACAAACTAGTGTTGGTTCACTTACGAGATAATTACTGGTTCATTGTTCTGTATTTAAAGTTGGCTCAAAGTGCAGATTTATCATATGTGTGGTGGGGGCAGAGGGGTTGGAGTTCAAGGAAATCATAATGTAGAGAATTTGCATATGCCCAATGTAGYTGGTGCTGTCTGTTAAAGGAGGAAATAAGAACTGTTCTTCCCAAAAGGWTGAGGATATCAACATTAGGATGTTGTAAGGAAGCTTGCTGCAAAGTAGGAATCATATATGGGAACCATACATGACAGCTGTTTATGATTTTAAGTTTCTGGTACAAAATATCTGCTAATATTATTTGCTCTTAGATGAAACTTATTAGACYTAAACAAAAGGATATTTGGAAAACCTTGGTGTTCTGGAGGATTCTAGATAGGAAGTTCTTTACACTGAAGGAAATTTAMATGTTTGTTCCTGTGCAACTGGCAGGAAGGTTTTTTACAGGCTGATAGTTTCTTTGGTGGAAACTGCATGGAACATAAATAGAATTCTATACAGCTCTCAAAAATGCAGGATTTTACTCGGCGATAACATGTTGAAATGGTACCTGGTTTTTAATTTACTATTTTAAACTTTAAAACTTTGTTATTGGATTCTTTAAAGTGCTTCAGCCCTTAAATCAACAGGCTGTGTAATTTTCTGTCGTTCTCGTGTATCTGAAGATTCTCACTGTTCAAACACCTTCCTGTCAGGCAGAAATAAACCTGTCATCAAGTCAGAATACGAGCAGCTCATCAGCCACTGCTTTCTGCTGAAACACCTGACCAGGAACTGCTTTCTCCTGCTACCCTGCCAGCTTGTTTCCAGGAGCCCAAGTGGGAGCTGAGCATTCCTGGCCCTTGCTGTGTGAAGTTTGTATGTATTGAGGTCACCTGTTGTTGAAAGTACTCCATTTGTGCTTCCAGTGCTGATATAGAAGTGTTGGGGTTTTCTTTTAGAACCAGTGTCCCAAGTCCAGCAGAGCCTCTGTGTGACAGGAGGGTGCTGCTTTCTGGTGGAAAGAGGTGTGGTGGTGATGGATGTTTTTCTAAAAGTATAAAATACCAGTTTAGTATTGAACACAGTGGAGATCCATAGTGTCAGCAACTCATCACTTCCTGCCAGAAAGACTTCCATTGGGATAAATTATATCTGATCTTTAAGTAAAATCTTGGGCTTTTCATAATTTGCCTTACCAGTCTTGGAACTAGAAGAGATTYGTGATTTTGAAGGTTTTTATCCTAATTAATCCTGCAGTGATTTCAGTGCTGAACATACACGATTTCCCTCTCTGGTCCTGTGGAAGTGTTAAATGAGTAATTATACTGATGCTGTGACTCARTCTCAAAGCAGGGTGGTTGTTAACAACTACACGTGGCACTCACAGAAGGGACTGCGAAGACCTGACCCCAAATCCCACTCATCCAGAGATGTGCCTGGCTCAACTCTCCTTGCCAATGGCTCGCTTGCCAGGGGAGAGTGTATTCAGGATGCTGTCATGGAGTTGGAGAAAAACCAGGAATGTCCAAATGTCCACTGTCACACCACTAGTTCCTATTAGYATGGATTTACCTGCTGAGAGCTGCAGCAGGATGGTTTTCCAGCTGCAGAATTAGTAGAAAACTGATCTATGCAGCTGGCAAATAGTTCTACATTTTTCTCTTCTTTGTTGCCTAAAGTAGATAAAACAAATCCATGCTCACATCAAACRGATGGCAAAAATAGCTGTGTAATAGTTTCAAATGATATATTCCATTATATATCTGATTTTTAAGAGGGTAAATGCTTCTAAAGTTAGAGAACTGCTGAGGTTCCTTTYCTGGCATGGATAGTTGTGCTGTTAATATCTGAATTCTGTTCAAAATTCAAAGTCACGTCCCACCTGTAGAAGCAGTAGATAAAGCATTCACCAAAAGTGCTCCAGGGAAGGGCTTTTAAGTCCCAGATTGATAAACACACATGGTCTGGCATCTGCATGTCTTAAGATAGTGCTGAAATTAAGTCAGATTTTTAATTAAGCCGCTCCTTCCAAGTYTTGGAACTAATTGCATGGGCTGTGGTCAGCTGAGACGCTTCAAGAATACTTGGGCTTTCTGGTTTTAATTTGTATTTACTGCAGGGAAGGTCTTTTGCTCAAATCTAGGAACASTGTGTGCTGTGCTGCTCCCAGCTTGGACTCTCAGAGGTCCCGTGGCTGTTCCTTCCCATCGTGCACAATCACAAGATGTGTCCAGGGAATACTGAGTGCATGCTTTATATCTGACTCCGATTYTGATACTTTTTAATTAGCAAAGATACAAAATGCACTTCTGAAGGCAGCATTAGATGTGCAACTGCAGTCCATAGCCACAGGAGGGGTCTCTAAGCCAGTTACTGTGRGATTTTGAAAGGTTTCTAAGAAATGGTGGGAAGCTGTTTGTGTACAACCCCCCTTCCTGTTTTCGTGCCACCGAGGAGCCCCAGTCTGTGACCTCCGCTGAGCCATTGCTCCACTGCTGTTTGTCTCTGGTGTAACTCCAGCTTCTCTTTCTCCACACCTTTCCTCTCTGTCCCACAGCACAGCCACAGCCTTGTGTTTGTGTTGTCATAGGCGATCTGTATAACCTAGGCAATGTTCTCTGTGTGGCCACGCTGGCCCGGGAGGTTAGTCCTGAGAAGTTGTTTAAATGTACTATTGGAAAATAAAGATAACAAACGAGTGGTTCTTCGTTTGTCTTAAATGAGATTGTAGATCTTTTGTATCTGAGTTTTCCTTAGTTTTTTGGTGGTTTTTTTTGGGGGGGAGGGTGGTTCTCTTGTTCTGGGTGCTTTTCAGGATGTGATTTTGGCAGACTGGGCAGGCTGCTGGTTGCCTGCTGGGTGTGGCAGTGCCCTTTCCTCTGGAGGTGTTCAGGCTTTGCTGGTGGCTTCTCAGAGCTCTCCTGAGCAGTTCCGAGTAGGAACTGTCYTGTGTATTCCTTGAGAAGTGTTGCTGCAGGTCCTTAGGTCTGAGATGGGCTACGGGATTTTGGATGGAAAGCTTTTACTCTGAGCATCCTGGTCTAGTGAAGATGCCCCTGCCCATGGCAGGGGGTTGGAATGGGATGGTCCAGAAAGCCCTTCCAACCCAAACCATTCTGGGATTCATGTCTRAGCTTTGTGTTTCTGCAATAATCCATCTTGCTGACTATCTGGGTACTGTTTTTTATCAGAGACATAATTATTAGTTCATGTGTGGCTGCTTGGATCCAGAGGCATGTCTTGTGCTGTCAGCACTTCCCTTTTCTTGGGATTAAAGTACAGGTTTTACTCAGTTGAATGATCTGTGTTGTTATCGTCTTGAAAACTTACTACTTTTATTCCAATTCTGGTATTTAAAACTGTAAGGGGAAACTCCAAGGGGCAGGGAGGAATCCAATACTTTWTTATTTTGAAGCCTGGAAGTTCACATGGAATTCGGTTCAGCTTTCTGTCATAGATTCCTAGAGATAAATAATCCTTTAATACTTAAACTTGATACCCTGAAGAGAAACTGGAGTAGTTTAATGGAAATGAAGAACCTGAACAGGTTTAACTTGGGCGTCTGCTGCCTGCCCTTCCCGGGTTGTACTTGTGTAAACACCTCCAGCGAGCTGCTTTATAAATCGGGAAACGAGAGTACTTCGAAGCCTTCATCTGCCATAATCTTACATTCTAAGCACTTCAACGAATTAAAACAGACGGTGGGTGCCGAGTCTCCCATGCAGAAGTSGCGCCCACCCTGCGGAGAACATGGCACCGCCCTGAGGCGGGGGGCAAAGTCTCGGGAAGGGGCCGTGCGTGAGCCGATGGCGAAGCTCGCTAACCGGCAGCCGCAGCCCCGTCCCCGCCGCGTGTCCCGGTCCCTGTCCCGGTCCCTGTCCCGGTGTYGCTCCCGGTGTCGCTCCCGGTCCTGATCTCGGTCCGGTCCCGGTTCCTGCGGGGGCTCCGCCCGCGCCCACCCCGGGCCCCTCCCAGCGCCCGTCGGTCACGTGACCCACCGCACGGCCCGTACCATCCCGCGGGGGGGGGCGCGGCCCGCTCCCGGTGCGGCACCCGCGGGTCGCAAGCTGTCGCTCGGTCCTTCCCGTTTCCCCGTGACCGAACACCGGTGTTTCTGCTCTGTGCTGTGGCAGCACGGCAGATGTAGCGCGGGAGGTGGGGAGAAGCATTCCAGACTTCCTCATGTCCCCCCTTTCTTGAGGTAATGGCTCCACCCGGCCCCTGTGGACAGGGCGGYCCTGGGCCGAGCCACTGCCGCAGCCGGGGGGACGACGATTCCCCGGGGGAACGGCAGGACGGCCGGCCTCAGTCCCGCGGTACGAACGGACTTCTCATCCCTCTCTCTTACCTTCTTCTCCGTCTTCTCTCTCCTCCGCGGCTGCGGCGGGCGGGCGGGCGAGGAGTTGTCTGYCCCGTCCCTCCCCCCAGCTAGCGGTGGCGGTGGTACGGTCGGTGGGTCAGTCGGTGTCAGGCGCCCGCGGACACGGGACGGGCCGGGGGARCCGCGGTGAGCGGGGGCTCCGGGAACGGGGAACCGGGACCGGGCCGGGGGTGACTGGGCACGGGGAACCGGACACGGGGCCCGGCAGGACAGGCCGGTCCGGGTCCGGCAGGGCCTGAAGCGCTCGGGTCCGCGGGTTCTCAGCAGGTCCGGCCCGTTCCGGCCTGAGGCTCCGGGCATGGGGATCTGGTGTGTCAGACCTCAGTCTTGATCCAGAGGAGGCCACCAAGGTTATCAGAGCGGAGGAGCACCTCTYCTTTGAGGAAAGGCTGGAAGAGCTGGGATTGTTCAGCCTAAGAAAGAGAAGGCTTTGGGGGGACCTACTAGTGGCCTTCCATCACCTAGAGGGAACTTRCAGGAAAGATGGGGCAAGRCTATTTGCAAGGATCGGGARTGACAGGACAAGGGGGAAYGGCTTCAAACTGACAGCAGSGTTAGATGGGATATTGGGATGAAACTTGCCCTGTGAGGGTGGTGAGGCCCCGGCACAGGTTGCCCAGAGAAGCTGTGGCTGCCCCATCCCTGGAAGTGTCCAAGRCCAGKTTAGACGGGGTTGGAGCAGSYTGGGGTAGTGGAAGGTGTCCAAGATGATTTTTCAKGTCTCTTCCAACTCAAACCATTCTGAGATTCCCTGAACCTGCTCCTGTAAGACTGGAGGTGTCTGGTCATTATGGGTTGGTCCAGCCCCATTCACCCCCATGTGGCCTGAGGTGTCCTGGCTCAGAGTGTCCAAAACCTGGGCACGGCAGTTGGGTTGCTCGAGCCCATCCCATCAGCACAAAGAATGGGATGGTGGAATGGATCGGTGGAATGGATCGGTGGAATGTCCAGGGAGGTGGTGGAGGCACCATCCCTGGAGCTGTTTGATGAGAGACTGGACGTGGCACTCAGTGCTCTGGTCTGGGTGACAAGGTGGTGATCGGTCACAAGTTGGACTTGATGGTCTTGGAGGAATCAGGCTTAGGCTGAGCTTAAGGCCAGCTGCTCCCGGGGGGATGCAGAACAGGAGTGAGGCTTTAGAGATGCTGTGATGTCCCATGTGCCTATCGTGTGCTCTCTCCCTGGCTGCAGGAGGCCTGGCAGGTGTGCTGAGCCCTCACTATGAACGCTATCGTGGCCCTGTGCCATTTCTGTGAGCTGCACGGCCCTCGCACCCTGTTCTGCACCGAGGTGCTGCACTCGCCGCTCCCGCAGGGCGCCGGCAGCGGGGACATCGCCGGGCAGAATGAGCAGGCAGAGGAGGAGG